AGTTTAAATATAAATATAAATGTATGTGTCATTCAAGATACACGCAAGAAGTAAGAGATTTAATCAAGAATGCAGGAAGGAAACACTGTTTTAAATTTTCTGTGTATTACTTGTCTGGTGCAGAAGAGAATCACCTATGTAGAGATACTGCTTGCAGCCAATGATGCATGAAATTTTTTGTATAAGATGATGTTATGGGGTAGGACTGGATAAGTCTGACTTCTTCCTATTCCATTCAAGCATGTACTAGGTATAAGCAAACTGATTCTGGATTAGCATTGGTTGGATTTGTGTAATTATGTGTGTGTTGATGTAATTTGTTCTGCATGCTTGAAAGAATAAATCAAATCAAATCAAAAATCAAATCAAATCAAGCACACAGAAAAATGAGTTAACTGGATTGCAGGCCCCCTATGTGTGTGTGAGACAATAAGCATGCCCAACTGGCCAAGTGGTTATCTCAGGTGATGAGACCCCCTGTGTGTGTAAGACCCCTCCTGGTGGGGCAGAACTTGGGATATGCTATGTGTGTCCAGGTGTGGGCTAGTGGGGCTTTATTAAAATGTAAATAGGCTGTCTGGTCCCAAAGACATGCAGACATCTAGTCTCTACACAGAAGTTACAGCATTCAAAGTAAACAAGATTCTACTTCATTATAGCTGTCAGATATATTTAAGCAAGGGACACAAATGCATTAAATTAATCGAAGCTCAATACTTCTGGACAATCATCAATACAGCTGTAATATGCATAACCAAGTAAGATAAAGTTATGAAAGGTAACTACAGGTATGAGAAGTAACTAAAGCTTATAAAGTAACTAGAGTCTATAAGACTCAAATCTTACAATTCCCCCTTTTTACATGATTTTATCATGTCAATAAAAACAAAAAAAAAACAGTGTAGAATTATAAACTGTATTGGAGGACTGACCTGAATGTCAGAGACAAATCAGTCATCCAGCCAGAGGGAGCATACGGCTCCTGTAGGACTATGGCTCTTGTTACCATTGCTAACTCTGAGAGATGAGACAGTCCAAGGAACTTCAAAACAGTGATGATTTATTCAATGGATCACAGGAAAAATTAACATTACACGCTCAGATATCATGCACCTCCAACAAGC